TTTCCCCAAGTGTTGAGTTTTCATCGGATAACCTCGAGCTAATAGCCTTGTTTTGTGGGGTTTTCGAGGGAAAACAGAGTTTGGTTCGGAGAAAGGTAAACGGATCGAGAGATAGCCGAGGGGAAAAGGATAGGATCGTACGGACAGCCGAGAGATTCTTAAGGAGATCAGATATCTTCGTTTTGGTGCGGATTTCATCAGGATTTCTTCTAACCAATCTGTTTCCAGCCTTGTTTAAGGTGAGTGCGTGACTGTGGTTGGTGGCTAGAACCGTAGGATTGCTAGGGTTGAATGTTTGCATGTTGATTGTGTGATTTTCATGTTATGTGTTTAGAACTGATAAGCAATTTTCATGTTATGATTGATATATTAAGGTGTTTACTGTGGCATAGATGATGTCTAGCAAACCTCAGGGTAATCCGGATCATGAACTAGCTTAGGGGATGTGGGATTCTCGCTGAAGTAGACATGGGTCTTAAAAAGGGATTGAACTTGGTTGGTTAAGTTAGATGATCAGGGCCATTTAATATTGTTATGTCTATTGCGAATTGATTGTGTTGAATGTTGGATCCGAAAGTATGATTGCGTGTTTGGTACTGACCAGGTGTTATGGGATGACCGTACTCAATAAGTATTTATGAAATACTTATGCCTCTCTTCTTGAGTGTGCAGGTACTAAGCAGTAAAGGGGTGAGACCAGGCGGCAGTGATGGATATGGATGGATCGGGACTGGGTTTTATGTATGTTTAAGACGTTGTGCTTTGCCTTATGGCTTTGGTGTTTGACTGTTAGGTTGCTAGATGACCATTTGCAATCGTTAGCAAACCTTGTGCTTTGGTATTTGATAACCCTGAATCCTGTTTAAGTGTTTTATGAAAGTTAAATGAATAAGATGAGTTGTTTTACATTCCGCTGTGTATTGATAAGAAAGAATAAGAATAAAGGAAAAAGTTTAAAAATATGGCTTAAGTATAGAAACGGACTGTTAGGATGTAGTGGGACACAGCCGCGGTACGGTTTACCGGGTTGGGTTACCACAGCTCCTCTCTGCATGCCAAGTAGTTCACAACGTCAGCATACCAAGGAAGATCCTCCTCTTTGAAGCTCAGAAGCTCCTCAAACTGCCCCTCTAGCTTTCCACAAACAGCCGTAGTGATCGCCGTGAGTTGTTCCTCGGGAAGCAAATCATCTAAGGGAAGAGACTCGTTGATTCTTAACCGAGAGAGATGGTCAGAAACGCCATTCTCTATTCCTTTCTCGTCTTTGACCTCCATGTCAAACTCCTGAAGAAGAAGAATCCATCTCAAAAGCCTCGGCTTGGTATCCTTCTTGGAATAGATGTACCTCAAAGCCGCGTGATCTGTGTAGACAATGGCCTTGGAACCCACGAGGTATGACCTGAACTTCTCAAAGGCAAACACTACTGCCAATAGCTCCTTCTCCGTAGTAGTGTACCTTGTTTGCGTGTCATCCAAGGTTCTTAAAGCATAGTAAATCACGTGCAGCTTCTTATCTTTCCTCTGACCTATAACGGCTCCCCGGCCACGGCGATGTCAAACTCAAACAATCCACAAGTGGCAATGGCACCAATTTGAAACAAAGGTTTTTAGGCCCTTGAACCTAACAATGCAATAAAGACAAAACAGAACTGAAATGCAAGTAAACAAATACTAAGCAGAATGAAACTAAAGCAAGATGTAACTAAACAAGATGTTTAGTGAAATTAAGCAAGCAAAAGAAACTAAGCAAAGCGGTTTTAAGACAATTAATAAAAAGCAAGACTCAAGGTTCTAAGCAATAGTGGTCAAGTGGTTTTCAAGAGTGACTAAGGGGATTTCTAGCAAAGGCAATCATCAAGCATCAAACAAGCAATCAGTTCTCAATGATGCAATCCTAGACAAGGAATCTAATGAATGATCTTCCTAGTGGTTAATAGACAAACCCAATTCAACAAGACTAGAGTGTCAAACCCACTTTTGATGGTGTATTATCTAATCATAAGCATAAAGAACAGAACCATAGAGCATAAAAGATGAACTAATCAAGTAAACATCTCTCACTCAAGCAAGAATTCAGATCATCTTATCAAACTTTTGAACCATATAGGGACCTAAGTACCTAATCACCAATCAAGAACATAGAAGTAGGCTCACGGTTGTGAATCCTAACAATGTCTAGCAATGAACAGGACTTCAAGCAAAAGCATGTTCTTATAATGCATACTATCTAACCATCAAGCAAGAATCTCAAATTATGCACTATCTAGCTCTAATCAAATCATCTAGCAAGGTGAACTATCACTTTGGTGTCACTGAACAAAGGAAACATATACCAAGCTAAGACTATCAAGCAAAATAGACGAATCATGCAAAGACCAAGACTTCAAACTATCAAGTAAACCATATGCTTCAACAAAACTATATTCAATCAAAAGGGAGAAGCTTTATGAGCAATAATCACTTTGCAAGAGAAGGAAACAACAGTGAATAACTAATCAAGCATAATCACCCCTTAATCACATCTTAATCATCACTTTCCCTACTTAGAACCCTAAATCTAAGGTAAACTACTCACTAACCATGTTTAATCCCATTTGGTTAGTGTTAAACCTGATTAGATGACATTAAGTGCAAGATAATGAAAACTGAACTACCAGGGTGCTGTATCAAATCTCAGAAGACCAGATTAAACCATAAAAATGCAAACTTAATTGAAGAAAATAAAAGTGTTTACAAGATGGGGCAAATCGCCTTTTTGGATAAGCAAGAGACAAGATAAGGTTTTGGAATCAAGATGACATAATGACAAAGTTTGGTGGCTTCCCTTTTACAGTCGGGAGCCAAAAGGGAAGGAAAAACCTAAAAATAGGATAAGGTCAACGATAAAATCCGGTCAAACACGCGGACAAGTTGTATAGGGGTGGTACGGACGGTGTTCTGCTCGATGCACCACCCCGATATGGTATGTGCAGCTTGTATCGGCTTGTGCATGCTTTCATTGCTCGATGCAGCACATCGATGTAGACTGTGCCTAAGGGTCCACGAGCTAGTCTTCTTCCTCACGTATCGCGGCTTGTATCGGGCACACTCCTCGGAGGTTTTGCTCGATGCACCATCTCGATATGGAACCAGACTTGGAAAATCTCCTTCTTTGACATCTCTTCGAACATAAGCTGTTTCTATCTCCTCCTTAAACTCTAAGAACCTCCAAAAGCACCTGAGAAATACCCCAAACATGCAAATGTATGCATATGTATGCAATCCTAAACTAAATGCATGCAATATTGATTCTAAGTGCAAATGATACTAAAATGCTAAACTAATATGCAAAAACAAGGGAAAAGATGCATGAAATGCAGCTTAAAATGCTCTAATATAGCAAGATATCAATGCTTTAGCCTTTACCCAGTTGATGAAGTAATCGGTGACGACTAAAATATATTTAAATCGATAAGACTTCAACATAGGGCTAACGATATCCATTGCCCACCGCATAAATGGATAAGGTGGGACGACTGTTTGAAAGATTTTGGTGGGTGTGTTGATTAGAGGTGTTTATTGTTGGCATGATTCACATCTGGTTGCAAATTTCTTGCAAGCCGCAATTATTTTAGGCCAGAAAAGTCCATGCTTCTTGATCTTTAGAGCAAAGGCTCTTCCACCAGAATTATTACCACATGCTCGATCGTGAGTTTCCACCATAGCATATTTGGTTTCTTCTTTATTACAACATCTTAGGATCACCTTGTTTGCAGTTCATCAAAAGAGGTTTCCATCCTGGATATATATGAAAAGCACTTTTTTGGGTAAACGCTGTGTTGCCCACCTTTCTTGAGGGACAGTTCTACATTCAAGTAATTTTTGATTTTGTCTTGCCACAGACATGTTCTTTCATCGGGATAGAGATCTATTGAATTATCAACCTTGTTTTCTTGAAAAAGGGTCATGTTATATATTCTTTTACAGAGCTGAATAATCGGTTGGTCGATGGTTTTAACTGGGATAGTACGACGAAGCATTATAATGATTGTTGAAGCAAGTGTTGCCAAAGCATCGACGGCAGTATTTTTGGTTCGTGGTATCTTAGTAAGTTCGAACAAATCGAATTGTTTAGTGAAGTGTTGGATCGTCTTGAGATAGGCGTCCATACATTCACTTTTTGTGTAATCGCTTGTAAATTAGCTAGCGACGAGCTGAGAGTCACAGAAATCTTGTACATTCTTAGCCCTGATCCCTTTTGCGAGTCGACGCTGGCGATTAATACTTCATATTCAGCCTAGTTGTTAGATGCAGAAAAGCCGAGTTTAAATGACTGCTCGTAGACTTCGTCCGTTGGGGACTCCTATTTAATACCGATGTCGGATCCTTCTTTTGAAGATACTCCATCGATGTGTAAGATCCACTTTGGTGCAATGGGAGTTTCTTCGACAGAAAGTTTGGGTGGTTCGTGTGTGCTGGGAAAAGGATGGAATCTGGAAAGAAACTTGGGAGCATGAGGATGTCGTGTGAACAAGTAATTCAGACCTCTTTGGAAGTGTTGGTGTTCTATAGGGTGTCGATTTGAATTCAGAAGCGAATTCCTATTTAGTGGGGGAGAATTGTGACATCCCGGGCCTAGATCCAGAAGAATTTTACAGAAAATCCCAACATGAAGAATAAGACCAAAGCCCAATCAGAATTAATCTAGAATTATCACAGTCGGTTGCTGGGAATTCTTTTTTTTTCTCTTTTGGAGATAATTTTCATATTTTATAATATAAAATATTATTTTTTCTGATTCAATGATGATTTTCAATTATTTTTCAAAATTTTAACTTTCTTATTTTATCTTATTACTAAAGAAAGATTTTTAAGAAATGTATTCATTTCTCCTCTAACATTTTCCATATTTAATTATTTCATCTTGGTTTCGTATCAGATCAGATTAAATCACGCTACCAGTTAAATTTCTCCATCATTAGAATTGCTAATTTTAATCACGCACAACGCAGGTCGTAGCTATGCGTTCTTACATGTATTGTTTATAATTTGTTCCTTCCCATTACCCTGTTGACATTTCCATGATTCCATCTGACAGCTTTTGAAACATTCCGTTAGACTCACTGTCAGCTATTCAAGTTGATCAAATTACTATATAGTTCCACTATCAGCTGTTTCAAGTTGATTAAGTTTCTATATAGTCCACTGTCTATTTCTTTTTATTTATTTATCATTTAAATTGTCCAAAGACTTCTTCTCATTTCCATTCACATTATTGTCGACATGTTTTGGTAACGAGGAGGCTTTCTTCTCGAATCATTTTTGGATACAACATATTGTTTGCTGGAAAGGCTCTGATCCTTGTGGAACCAATTGGGTTGGAGTTACATGTAGCAATGACCGCGTCATCTCAATGTAAAAATTTTTTTGTTTTTTTTTTTTAATGCTTCTTCCAATAATTCTCTCAACCTTTAACGTTGTGTTGTTGATTGTTTCAGATCATTAGGCAACCTTAACTTGGAAGGAAAGCTTTCTGCTGATGTCTCAGCGTTGTCTAAATTGCAGATCTTGTAGGTCTTTCTTCTTCTTACTTGGCATAAAAATGGGTTTTCTTTCTCATCTTATGATCCAATATTTGTAGGGATTTGACATCCAACCTTAAATTGTCTGGACCGCTTCCATCAAATATCGGTAACCTCAAGAAGTTGACTACCTTGTAAGGAAACATGATCATGACCAATTTTTAACCTCATTTGTTGTAACCAACTAGTTTTTTTTCTTCTCCAGGAACCTTATGGCATGTGGTTTCAGTGGTCAAATCCCTGAGACGATAGGATCTCTAGAAGCACTTACAACTCTGTAAGTCTCTTTTAAAATAGCAGTCTCCAAACCCATTAGTATTGAATAATTAATTTGTGTTTCCTCCATACAGCTCCCTGAATTCAAATAAATTTAGTGGAACAATTCCGGCTTCCATTGGACGGTTATCGAAACTATTTTGGTTTGATATAGCTGACAATCAGATCGAAGGAAAGCTTCCAGTTTCTAATGGGACTTCTTCACCTGGACTTGACATGCTTTTCGAAACTCAGCATTTGTATATATATTGCAAAATTTTCCCATTCTTTTTATATAATCACTCTGCTTAGCAGTCTAATAAGTCTGACTCTCCTTCGTTTTCGGTTGCAGTCATTTTGGAAATAATAAGCTCTCGGGCGATATCCCAGAAAAGCTCTTTACCTCAAACATGACTTTATTACATGTGTAAGTTTCATTTTCATAGGACATGTGAAAACTTGTTCACGGCAGTTAAGAGTAGTAACTAAATAAGTAATTATTATTATACGTATTCGTTCGTTACTGGTTATAATTTTCTTTTTACCATTAGTGTTTTTGTTTTTGTATTTCTTTTTTTGAACTACAATGTTTAAGAAAATAAGTATATATATCATAGAATCTCTATCAACTAATATTGAATAAATGAATATTCAATAAATTAATAATTTTTGGCATTTTAACTTAAATCAGACTAATTTAAAAATTAACAAAATTTAATAAAAAAATAATAATAATTTTTTAAAAACTTCTATATAAATATATAATCTCAATAATAAGTTAAATTAATAATTATATATTTAAACATATATAACTAATATAATGTGGTAAAATATGTTTATATTGTTGTTATAAGTTTAGAAATGTTGTTGGACAAATCTTTCAAATTTATTAATATAAAATTTTTAAATGAATTTTATTGTATTAAAAATATTTTTTATTGTTTTTTATGAACAATAAAAACTCAAACCGAAAAAATCTCTCTATAAATAAATAATAAATTTCTGAAATCCCAATATTATTTATTTTGTACAGGCTTTACTGTATATAAATATAGGTCAAGTCTTGATTGTAAGACTCACCCAAGCAATAAAGAGCTTTGGAGGTTTAAGAGAATGTAGTTCTGTGGAGAAATTTTACTCTGCTTCTGGTTACTACTATCTTAATAAAGTGTTTGGTTTTGAATCGTTTCTTATCTCTAACAATAGTAATAGTAGTTTCCAAAAATAAATAATACGAGTAGTAAAGTTACAAAACGAAAAATAAGACTGGTACTAAATAAGTAATTGCATTGATTTGTTTGCTATTTTATCGGTAGGCTATTCGATGGAAACCAATTAACGGGAAAAATCCCGGACAGCATCAGCCTCGTTAAAACGTTGACGGTGTTGTAAGTAGTAAAACATTTTTTTTAATTTTCTTTTTTTTTTGCTTATCATAAACTTATCTCATATGCTCTATTCTTTGTTACAGACGCCTTGATAGAAATAAACTAACTGGAGATATTCCTGCAAGTCTTAATAATCTCACAGATCTTCAAGAACTGTAAGTGAGCAACTAAAGTTTTGTTCTACGTTTGTAGATATAATGGAAAGAGGTAAGAGAGTTTGTAGTTGAATCCATTTCAGATACTTGGCCAACAACAGATTTAATGGAAGTCTTCCTAATTTAACAAGCTTGAGCAGTCTCTACACACTGTAAGTATTCTATATTTCTCTTTCTCTTTGCTGCTCAATTTACCATCACTGTCCTACTCAGAACTTTATTAATCAATCTAACTCCATGAAGTGATTGCTTTGTAACAGCGATATAAGCAATAACCAATTGACATTCTCACCCATTCCATCATGGATTTCTTCATTAAGCTCCCTGTCAACACTGTAAGAATCTCTCTCTCTCTCTCTCTCTCTCTCTCTCTCTCTCTCTCTCTCCTCTCTCTCTCTCTCCCTCTCCCTCTCCCTCTCCCTCTCCCTCTCCATCTCCCTCTCTCTCTCTCTCTCTCTCCTTATAAATAAGTTCTTCATTATGCTTACCAATAAGAAATAGTTTTCTGTTTGGTAGAAGGATGGAAGGGATCCAACTCGAAGGGCCAATACCAATCTCCCTTTTTAGCTCTATTCTATTGCAGACTGTGTGAGTAAAAACTATAAAAATTTTATTGGGAAATAAAGTCAAGTTGGAAAAATTTATACTAATTGGATGATTTCTATTGCAGTGTCCTAAAGCGCAATCAGTTAAATGCAACATTAGACTTTGGTACCAACTATAGCAACCAATTGGAGTTCGTGGATTTACAAAACAATGAAATAAGCACTTATAAACTAGCAACTAGTAAAGGCATCCAAGTAATGTATGTATCCTGTCACAAATCAAAATTTCTCTTGTTCCATCTACTTAGGTGTATTGATGTTTCCACAGATTGGCAGATAATCCAGTGTGCCAAAAAGCAGGGAACCAACAGAATGACTACTGCAGAGCAAACAAATATAATACTTCTTTTTCTGCCCCTTAAATACATTGTTCAACCTGTGGTCAGGGCAAAGAACCTAATCCAGTGTGCCGTTGTGTGTATCCAGTCACAGGAATACTCATTTTCAGGTCACCTTCCTTCTCTGGGTTTTCTAACAACACCAACTTCATAATGCTCCAGCAAGGGATAGCAGAATTCTTCAAGAAACTCAGTTATCAAGTGGACTATGTGGCCATCAGAAACATCAGAGAGACTATACCTGATCATCAGCTTCTAATAGATCTCCTAGTATTTCCACTGGACAAAGAGATTTTTGATGGGACGGGGATGAATAGTGTGATTTCCGCGTTTAGCACACATGCCTATGACCCTCCTGGAATATTTGGGTCTTACATTTTTAAAGCTGATCAATACAGGCCTTTCTCTGGTACAATGAAACTGGTCACACACTCAATCATCCCGGATGTAAAACTGGTTTCTGTATAACTCATTTGTTCTGCCTTTCTTGCCACATATGTAGGAGGTTCTACATCAGCAAACACGGCTATAATAATTGGAGCAGCAGTTGGTGCTGCGGTTCTTCTACTGCTTTTAGCTGTAGCTGAGATTTACGCTCTTAGGCAGAAGAAGAGAGCAGAGAGAGCAAGTGGTCAAAATAATCCTTTTGGTAAGAAGATTTGGTTTTACTAGTAACTAATTTTTTTTTTGGGGATATAAAATGGGTCAATTTGGTGACGAACTATATTGAGCTATAAAATCAAACTTATAGCCATAAGAAATTTGAAATAAACTAACTATGTAACTACTTTAATTTATTAGACCAAAATACCCGATTGATTCCCTAGAAAAAAAAACTTAAAAATTCTATACTATTTTATACATACACACATAACATTCTATATTCTATACTATTTTGACTTCCGTTCTATATTATTTTATTTTATAAAATAGTATAAACTTGTTATCCATATGACTTTACCCAAAATTTTCATCTTTTATGACGTTATCCAACTTTAACCCGCTATAGACCCAAATCGCAAAAATATAAGTTTCAAACGATAAAACTAAACCCCAAACCCTAAACCTCAAACTATATTGTTCTATACTATTTTTTGTTATTTTATATTAGAAGATAATATAAACTAGTTAATAGAAAAAAAATTGTGACCCCTGAAAATAAACTCACATATTTTAAAACTAAACCCAAGCCACTACTTACTATACCCAAACCCCCGAACATAAATGTATGATGTTATATACTGTAATTCTTAATCTCCCCGCAAATAAACTCACATAATTTCAAACTAAACCTAAGTTAGTACTTACTATACCCAAACCCTCAAACATAAACTAAAGTTATTACATATGTAGAATAACACGAATTTATTAAAAACTAAACCCAAGCCACTACTTACTATACCCAAACCCCCAAACAAAAACTATATGATTTTATATACCGTAATTCTTAATCCGCTATAAACCTCTGAAAAAAAACTTACACGATTTAAAATAAACTCAAGTCAGTACTTACTATACTCAAACCTTCGAACATAAATCAAAGTTATTATGTGTGTAGAATAACCTAAATTATTTCTCATTCTTTATCTTTTCAGCAATATAGAATATTCACAGGTTACAAAATAGAATAGAATACAAAAACATAGTATAAAACACAAAGGTCAATTTAGGCACTATACATAATATACAAATAATATCATAGCCACAAGTTTGATATGGTCACAAAACTAAATAACATGTTTATAATGGCTACTGAGCCAAATTTTCCATATAAAATTAAAGACTCATTTCTTAAGTGATGCTGAAAACGCGGAGAAGTCAAATTAGTTGGATGCGCGTTGGGAATTAAGAAGTATGAGGGCAGAGCCTCATGTTTTTGTTTTCCACAAGAGCAACTTAAGTAGTAGTGTCTCCTTTTATCAAACTCATTTGTTGCAAAAACCGTGTTTTTCTTTTGAATAAATTTTATATTTAATAAATTAAAAACGCTGAGAGCTCTTTTGTGTGTGTTGTAGCCAAATGGAATAAGAGTAAGAGTAGTATCGATGCTCCACAGCTAATAGGAGCAAAAGCCTTTACTTTTGAAGAGTTGAGGAAATGCACCGATAATTTTTCAAAGGCGAATGATGTTGGGGGTGGAGGTTATGGCCAGGTTTATGTCTTTGCAATGGCCTTTATTGAGATAAACAATTGCACTAGCTGAAATAATTTGGTGAAAAACAGGTGTACAAAGGCACTCTTCCCTCTAGGCAACTCATAGCAATCAAAAGAGCACAACAAGGATCTTCACAAGGGGAGTTGGAGTTTAAAACTGAGATTGAGCTTATTTCAAGGGTCCATCATAAGAATGTTGTTAGACTCTTAGGCTTCTGCTTTGATCGAAATGAACAAATGCTTGTATATGAGTACATTCCAAATGGCTCTCTTACAGACAGTCTATCATGTAACATCAAACATCTCTCTTTTCCATTTGAGGGATTCTAATCGTTCTTGAATGGTAATTTTGAGATAATGCATGAAAGAGTGGAATTGTACTAGATTGGACGAGAAGGCTAAGAATGGCACTTGGGTCAGGCAAGGGCTTGGCTTATCTTCATAAGCTTGCTGATCCTCCAATTATACATAGAGACATAAAATCAAATAATATACTACTTGATGAAAGTCTAGCTGCAAAAGTTGCCGACTTTGGTCTTTCCAAGCTTGTGGGAGACCCTGAGAAAATTCATGTGACAACACAAGTGAAAGGAACTATGGTAAGTAGAGAATCAGTGATCCTCTTTTCTTTCTTCTTAGAATAGTTTAAACTCACATTATGTTTGGATATAGGGCTACTTGGATCCTGAGTACTACATGACGAACCAATTGACAGAGAAGAGTGATGTGTATGGGTTTGGTGTGGTGATGCTTGAGCTATTAACCGGTAAAAGTCCAATACAGGGAGGAAAATATGTGGTGAGAGAAGTAAAGTCAAAGATGGATAAATCAAGAAACTTGTATGATCTACAAGAATTATTGGACACAACGATCATTGCAAGCAGTGGAAATCTGAACGGGTTCGAGAAGTATGTTGATCTTTCTATGAGATGTGTGGAGGAGGAAGGAGTGAAGAGACCCTCTATGGGTGAGGTTGTGAAAGAGATTGAGAACATAATGCAGCTTGCAGGGTTAAATCCTAACATGGATTCAGCAACCACTTCGAGAACGTACGAAGAAGCAAGCAAAGGATCTGGTGATCCTTATGGCAAAGAACCACAATGATTGATTATGTCTTTTTTTTCTTTTGTAATTGTGGATTCGCATGATTTGATTTGTTGTTGTGTAGGACTATATGCACGATACAATTTTTTTTTTCTCTTTTTCAAGTGCATGTGTTCTCAGACAATTTGAATCAGAGAGATTTATTGGTTTGGGCAAATTTAAAGACACATAGGTTACTTGGGTTCCAAGACAATAAAACAGAGCTGAAGATATTTTTTAGTTAAACATTTTCTAGTTGACGATTCTCAATTTCTCTTTCACTTTATATATACCAACATGTGTATAACGACTATCCTCGACATTATATTTTCTTTCCTAATAATATTCACAGATTGTTTTTAACAAATGAAAAGAAAAAATAATGAGGCAGAGCCCTAATTGCTCTTCTAAACCCTATCTTCTTCTCCCCCAAATCCCTCTAGCTGCTTCTCTTCTCTTCACTCTCCACTCACACATCACACATGCCGCTTATATTTCCTCGCAGATCTGAAACCATGGTAAAAATTCTCTTCGCTTCCTTCCTCTCGTTTGATTATATTATGTTTATTGATTAAAGAATTTTACGAACTATGATCCGTTGATGTCTTTGTTTTTTCTTTCTGTGTTGTTTCTTCTTCAGCTTCTACCTAGTCAACAAACCGACCATTATTGTAAAATCAAGCTCATCGTTTTTGGTGATAAAAGCACAGGTACTCTTGGCCGTATTTTTGATGGACCTATCACAGTTTTCTATTCTCCCTGAAGAGTTGATCTTCTAACCAAAGATATGCCCTTTTGAAAGACGCAATTAATATTTTACTAAGCATATTTTGCGATTGATTCTTAATATTGCTCACTGCTGTTCTCAGTGGTTCAGTTCATGTCATAGGATATTTTCTCTTTCTAAGCCTCTGAGTGCTCTTTGGTGGTTTTGTGCAGGGAAAACTGCTTTTCTCAACAGGTTTTCCTCTGGGAACTTGTGGAAGGTAAGTATATAGTGACGGTTGCTTACAAGTTACAATTTCTATTCTTCATTCCTCTGACCCATTCCCATTCTGATATTTTGTTCTTATTTCTGTGTTGCAGTTGATTAGTGTGCTATGGTCCATTGTTTGGATTTCTCAACAAACACTGGCAACATAACTTTTGACTGCTGGGATTGTTCTGGAGAATTTGTGAAGGATGCGACCTAGTAAGTAGACCGTTTTGTTTCTCTATGTTACTGAAGTAATCTCTAAAGATGTTGGGTTTATACGTGTGCAGTTAATTTAGAGTGTGCATAGTTTGGAATAGCTCTGGTTAGGGTGTGGAATTGGCAACTGATTTGTTACCTCGACAACAGGAGTAGAAAGCTCTATGATAATGTGTTTTTTTTCCTTTTCTTTTACTTGCAGCATGAATGCAGATTGTGCCATCATCCTTTTCGATATCACCTCAAAGAAGACATACGAGAGTGTTCAGGCCTGGTACAACAATATTCGCCGAGGCTGTCCTGACATCGAGATCGTTCTTTGTGGGAACAAAGTTGATTCGAAGAACAGGCAAATACATGCCAATGAGATGATATTTCACATGATAAATCACTAGTAAAAAAACTGGCTATAGCCACATAAATGTCACAATCACGTCGTGACTTTTTTTTTAATAGTCACGTATAAGTCACTAGATAGTCACGAAAACAGTTAAAAGAGAAAAATGTGACATTTTGTGATATTTTCGTGGCAAAACTAGCCACCATTTAGTCACAAGAAATGATGTGGCAAGGTTAGCCACGTTTAGCCACAACGATTTCGTGACAAAATAGTCATGACTAGAATTCATGACTCAACCGTGGCAAGTTTGTTACGGTTTATCCACGCAACGACAATCTAGAATAATTGACCATCACGGGTGCTGCACCGAAAATGTCTTCTCAATCAGAGAGTCAGGACGAATATATTCTAATATTTAGTCACGCCATAAAACCGTGACGTTTTCCGTAAAAATATAGTCACGGTTTAGTCACATATCGACTGTGACTATCCTATATGCTAATTTTTGAGTATAAATAGATAGTTTCTCCACACCCTTATTCTCATTCCAAAAGTTCTAGTGAAACAGAAAAACTCTAAATCTTTTTCTTGGCCTCCCTTAGCCGCTGAGTTCCTTCTATCTCTTTGTTGGCATCTCTCTCTTCCATTGTTGCCATGTCTCAGTCGTCGTCTTCCTCCTCCACGCTGCCCTTTAAGGAGTCCCAACCTAGGATTTGCAGCCTTCAGCCAATCCCGGTGGTGGTGCTTCCCCCAATTCTGATGCCAGATCCCCGCGGTTTCTCCCCGACTTGGAACTGGAGAACCGCCGATGAAGAAGAACCCATCTCGCCACTTAGGCTAAAGTGAGGACGAATCTATTCTAACTCTTTACAACTTGTTTTACAAACTGTTTTCAAAAATACCCACTTGCATAGTTGACATCTGACTTGTAGCTTTTCTTTCGCATGTTAAGCAGGTTCCACACTCGTGAAACGGCTAGGAAACATGTTACACCCACGAAGTGGGCATGTTCGCGATTCAACCCTCCTGCTTGCATTTCTACACAAGTTGAGGTGGACTGTAGTGTTTCATTGGCAATGGACGTGGTTAAGGGTTTACGAGCTGACACTACGCGCCATAACTCTGATATCAACAGAGCTTCGACCTCACAAGTCCCGTCAATGCGCAAACGTGGACGCCCTCGCAAGCACCTGTTACCTATGGCTATGCCCGGAACTTTAGAACGTTATCCGAGAATGGAGCAAGGTAGGCGTTCAGTTCAGCAGTACTATTTGGCCTATGCACTTGATTCAGAAGCCAATGGTAAAGTTGTTTGTTGCTCAACTCACCGTGCTGTGAAATTTTGGGATGGACTTAACACGGAAATCCGCAACCAAGTTCCTAGTCCGACTAAGGACGGGAGGTGCAGGCGGACTAAGCATGTTCTCGAATTTGCTAAGGCCGCTGAGAAGGAGATCCAAGAAAAGTGGGAATGTGAGTACGAGCATGACCTTGAATCCGATCTATTCGAGTGTGAAGTGCTAGGCGACTTTGACTAACGACTCTGATAATAATTATACTTTGTTTAATATATTTTCAAGCATATGTATAATTAAACTTTATTTTTTAATATTATAATAAAGTTAAGATTGTCTTATGATTTATTGAAATTATAAGATTAAGATCAAATTAAACATGCAAGCTCTAGACTCTAAAATGAAACCCTAAACCCTAAATCAAACCATAAACCCTAAAATTAAACCCTAAATCATAAAATTAAACCATAATCTGAAAAATTTAAAATTTGAATTTAAAACTAAAATATAACTAACATGTAAACTCTAAACCTTAAAATCAAACCCTAAACCCTAAACCTATAATCAAACTTTAAACTCTCAATTCAAATCATAATCTAAAATTTTTAAACTTTTAATTTCTAAACATAATATATATTTGTTCTGGTAAAAAAATAAATCATAGTTATTTGTTTATTTTTCTAAAATCATCTAATTTGTTTTTACCACCCCCAAAATGCTGGTTTTTAAAACTGATTAATTTGATTTATACCACCCAAAATTTTAAAACCAATTAATTTTGATTATACCACCCAAATTTTGGTTCTCCCGCAATTAATTTTAGTTTCCCACAAATTATTTTGGTTTCCCACAAATGTTTTTGGTTTTCATCCTCCTTCTTTACCCGGTTACTTCCCTTTCCCTAAAACATTCGAGAACTTTCTCTCTTCCTCTCTTCCTCTCGCCGTCGCCTTGCTTGATCTCTTCTTCTTGCCGTCAGTTCTCTTTCGCTCTTCTCGGTTTTCTTCCTAACTTCCTCTCGTCGTTGGTTCTCTTTCTTTCTCTCTTCCTCTATTCCCCTCGCCGACTCTTAATCCACAAATCCTGATGGCTCCTTCTGGCTGTGGCCGTCGCAACTCAAGCACCGCCGACAAAACTCAGACGGGTATGTATTTCTCTCTTCTGCCTTTCCTTTTTTTTTTCTCTTGCATGGTTAATCTTCTTATACTATGTTTGATTAAGAGTAAGGGTTTTGATTGGGCCATCGTTGTTAGAAAATCATTCAATGTTATTTGCTTTTTTGGATTTGGTGCTTGAAATGATTTCTCGGTTTGTAACTTCTCGATTTGCAATCGGGATTCTACAATAGCTATATTGGTTCATATAAAATAGAATTAACCCCCATTGCGTATTGATTTTTATCGGATATAGAATAAATCCGCTCGATTCGCATCATTATGTTCGATAAAAGGAATTAGGAAAGCTGTAGCATCTGTATCCGAGAAAATCTGGAATGATCGAGCCGGACAGGAGGTTGTCCGAAGGAATGTGAGTTCAGTCAAGGGAAAATCCGTACGGATGGGAGGTTCAGACTATAGTCGATGGATGACTGGGAAATAGTCGAAGGATGGTCGGGCTGGCCGAGCAGGACGGACCATATCCGAGAGAAAAATGGTTCTGTCCGGGAGAAAGTGGATTATGTCCGAGAAAAATGGATTATGTCCGGGAGAAAGTGGATTATGTCCGAGAGAAATGGATTATGTCCGAGAGGAAATGGATTATGTCCGAGGGAAAAAGAAAAATAGCCGAGGCTTTTTGGTTTTAGCCGAGTAAAAATGGGCTGGGCCCGTGGGCTAGGAGTTTGGTCGGATGAAAACTAATTTCTTGTGGGGATGGTCGAGCGGTTTAGGCGATATCCGAGATAAATCAAAGCTGACCTGGATAAACCTGACTGGAACTGGGAGACGCCGACTATAACCGGGTTAACTAGGTTTTGCGAGCATATAAAAGAGATTTTTAGACTTTTTCTCGAGACAGCCGCATTATTTGAGAGAAATAACGCGTGAGAGAGAGATTAGTCGAGAGAAATCCCATAGTTTCTGATTATCCCGAGAGTTGGCCAAGAGAGATCGAAGTTTCGCCGGCGATTCCGACTATCACCGAGAGATCGAGCGTTCTGTCCGAGTTTCTGTGGATCTGTTTCGACCATTCGTCCTGATTTGAGGGTTTGCCGAGGGAATAACCGAGTTTATCCGAGGATTTCTGAGCGGATCGTGTGATATCCGAGAACACTTCGATTCGTCCGAGAGAATCTTGTAAGTGTTCAGCTATTCTGATTTCTGTTGAGTTTCTGTCAAATAACTTTGGGCTGATCGATCTGAATTATACTGTTTCCGAGGGAATACAGCTTATTACCCGAGAAAAAGTGACCAGGTTGAGAGATAGCCGAGAGGTGTTGGGATTTTACTGAACCAGTCTGAGCGATTGCCGAGAAATTGCAAGTGTGTCTGAGTATCTCAGTTTCTGATCGAGAAATCGCCGAGATTCTTTTGACTGAAACGTTTGTTTCTGTGTCTAAGGTGAGTGCGTGACTGTAGTCTGTATCTAGAATCGTTGGATTGCTAGGTTATCTGATTTTCATTGATTGCTTGTGTAAGTTAGTGGTTTCTGCTTAGCAAGGTCAATGTTTCTGTGATTGTGAATGGTTAAGTGTGAACCGTGGTCAATACGTGATGTCTAACTAGCTGTGTGAATGTCCGGATCGAGTTGCTAGCTCAAGGGGATGTGTGAATCTCGCTTGGAGCAGTACTGATGCCTTGTGAGGCTTCACAAGTAGTTGAGATGATCATAGGACCGTACTGTTTTCTGTGCTTGCTTGCTAAGTGATAATGTGAATTGTATAACTGATAGTATGATGCGTTTTCTGGTATTGGCTAAGGTGTTACGGGATGACCGTATTCACTAAGTATTTATCAAATACTTATGCCTCTCTTTTTGAGTGTGCAGGTAAGGATAAAGTCCAGGGCGAGTAGCTCTGAAGGCGGACTGGAAGGCAATGAAGGAAAGGGGTGGATTAGGACTGGGTTTTGGGATTCATATTCTGAGTTTGAGTTTCTATTTAAGTACTTGTGTTAGTGCTTTATGAGTTGAACCGAATCTGATAAATTAGTTTGTTATTGAGTCCAAATTCTGTTAAGTGTTTCTGGAATAATTATGCAATGAGAATGAATGTCTTTTGATGAATTGAACTTGTTTAAGTTTAAGAAAAGTTTTTAAAATATGCATGTTTTTGTACTCTGGCCGAGAGAAGACTCGGTGAGGTTCGGGCCGGTCTAGTGATAGACGGTCGGATCCTCACAGAAGCTCTCTCCGATTTTGATTTCTTCTTTTGGGTGATGATTTGATGAAATTAGTTTTTAGGTCGTGAACTCTCTGATTTTGATTCTCTCCGTATCAATTGATTCTTGTATGATTTATGGGTTTGACTAGTGTTTGAATAATGGGTTTGTCTAAATGCTTAAAATTTTTATTGTGTTATGAAGCTCTTCCTTGGACATGCTGTTTCTGGAGTTTCTGTTGGATTTATTTTTGTAGCTTAAAATGTTATTGTTATCAATGCAGGTCATGCCATGCCACCAGGAGCTGTTGGATATAGAAACTCATCTGGTCCTTCCATGCCACACGAAGCTGTTGGCGCTACAAGTGCTGCAATTTCAGCTGCTAATAACCACACTCGCATGACTCTGGAAGCATTAATGGATGCTCCTTCCAGAGAACTTCAGCCACACCTCCATCCAAAGAAACTCAATGGCGCTTTATGGTAAGTCATCTACAAACTCAATGGGCTTGCTCTGCAAACATTTGTTAACTTCTTTCTTCTGATAATGTATATTATCTTGATCTAATTCCTCTTATCTCAGGTTTGGTATAGACCCCTCTGTTCACAAGTTTATCAAAACAACTTGGCAAGCTTACTACATGGGACCATGGAGGAGCTGGAAATTCGTTCCTGATGAGAGGAAAGATAAGTGGTGGCATACTTTTGTGGTAAGCACTTGTATTACGAAAGGAAAAAGAATATTTTGGTTACTAACTTACAGCTACTAATGTTTCTTTTTTAATTGTAGCAAAACTACTACTGGGAGGCTCGGTTTAATGATGATGTCTACAACAAATGGAAAGTGCACACACAGACTACGATTTGTGGCAAAATTAGCAAGAAGAAGAGAGAAAACCAGAATCCCAAGTACATAAGTGAAGATGACTGGACCACTCTGCTTGAGTATTGGTCATCTGAACCGGCAATCAAGAAGAGCAAAGATGCGGTTAAATACCGCACATCAAACCCGGATGGAAAAGGGATGCACAAGCATTGTGCAGGTCCTCAAAATTTTTTGAAGATCGAGTATGATATGGTAAATGATTTTCCTTGTATTTCTTTTCCAATCTTTATGATGTCGTATTTTCTACTAATGTTTATATTTCTGTTTTCCAGATGGTAGAGTCTGGTCTTGATGAACCACCACCTTACACGGAGTTTGTGCGAAAGACACACACACGAGATGGAAGTTTCATTGATGGTCGAGCTGAGACTCTTGTCCTTGAAGTAGAGGAAGCCGTAGCACAGATGGAAACTGATTCTGTCAGCGAAACCACCTCAACTGCTGCAACTCCTTCTCGCCTTCTACTTAACCAAGAATTTCTCAAGGTAATCTCTTATTCCTTTTTGGTTTGCTGTAAACTTGTTCCGATTTGTTACTGTTTATGATATTAACTTGTTTCGACTTGTTGCCGTTTTGGGTTTGCTGTAAACTTGTTTCATTCTTTATCTTTGCCTCTTACTTAGTGATATCAGAATTTTTACTTCTTAAGTTCCGATTCTGGTCTTTAAAATTTTACAAATAATGATTATTCTAGGTTTCATTCTTTGAGCATTGGGATTAAAATAATCTAAGTATCACATGTCTCTTTGTTGTTCTTACAGCAAGGTAAGACAAGCCGAGGGCGAGTTTATGGAATCGGCAGTGTGCAGCAAAAGGAATTCATCCTGACTGCGTCAGTCCATGCATCTCTTCAACGCAGCTTGGATATGGACATGTGCATCTCCAGTGTGGAGACTCATTCTGAAGCTGTCAACAACAATGTTGAAACTCTGAAGTCAGAGATGACTGAACTCAAGGAAAACGTGGTGGCGATGAAGGATGAGATGAAGGAGGAGCTAGTGGCCACAAGAGCTGCACTTTTTTCATTCCTAGAAAAGTTTGGAGTCACTCAGCCTCCTGCTGCTGCGCATACACCATCTGCTCCTGCTGCTGCGCCTACACCATATGCTCCTGCTGCTGCACCTACACCATCTGCTCCTGCTGCTGCGCCTAGACCTTCAACACCTTCAGCTGCTTCCTCTAATGCTACACCTACAATGACCAAAGATAATCAAGCTATGCTAGATAAGTGGTGTGCAGCTTATTTAGGCTAACTGTAATTTATAATCTACTTATCCTTGTTCAAAACTTGTGTGATTGTTGGTTACATGAATGTACTTTTGAATGTATGTTATTGGTTTTAAGATTTTCCATTTGTTTCATGTTTCAGTATTCAATTTTGGATTTCAAGCTATTAGAATTTTGTAACAAAGGAATGAAATAGCTATGATTTTAATAACTAAAAGCACCGTGGCTATATAGTCACGAATTAGTCAGTTGAATTGCGTGGCAATACTTGTCACGGTTTAGTCACTTCAATTATGTAAAAATATTAGTCATGATTTAGACACAGTCATTTCGTGGCAATGTTAGTCACGAATTAGTCACGAAACATGTCGTGGTTATAAAGACACAGACAGTTATGTGATTATTTCGTGACTAATATTGCCACGAAATGACTGTGTCTAAATCATGACTATTTAGTCACGAAAAGCCACAAAATAATTTAGTTACGATCGTATAGACACATTTTTTTTCCGTGATATTTCGTGGCTATTAGAACATATAGCCACGTTTTTTTTGCCTTAGTCACGTAATATTTCGTGACTATAGCCAGCTTTTTTACTAGTGAATAATCTCCAGTACTACGAGATTTCTGCTGTGTGCAACTACAATCTTGACAAGCCGTTTTTGTACCTTGCTAAAGTAGTCACCAGGTAAGAACGAATTGATGAATACTAGTATACTACTGTTTTGGTACTTTTGCTTTTTTATTAAATTTTTTAATATGAGACATTGCTGGCTTGTCTTTGGGGGCAAAGCTCTGAGTTTGTCGTGCAACCACCTCTTATTCTACCAGATTTTTTCATGGACAATGCTGCTCAGAAACAGATTCAGGATGATATCACTGCAGCTGCAGCTGAGCTCGATGATGGCGACTATGCTGTGGAAATGGATGGCCTTGAGCTCATGGATACAATACACGGAATTTTCCACAACCCAAACCTTTATTTTGTCAAGTAACCAGCTCTTCTCCACCAGAGGTCTACATTATTATTTTTCAGCTGAAGAACGAGGCTGATCTCATTTCCGCTGTGACTCAGCTGATTTTTAATTTAACTAGATGAGTACCCGTGCGATGCGCGGATATTTTTTCATAAAATGATATATTAAAAAGTGTAGTTATAATTTATTTTATCATACATTTAAAATTTTTTAAAGGATATTGTGTATTTGAATATACATACAATACATATTTACATATTATGTGAATATTAACTATATATGTGATCAATAGTTTATTGTTAAGAAAATGTGAAATATATTATACTTTGTATATATAGAATATATTAAATGGATATAGTGCAAATCAGAGATGTACTATATAACAAAAATTAATTAGAGAAACTCTTTAAGCACAACATAGATAGAAACGACTCTTTTTAACAGGTCATACTTGTTCACGGCGTACATTTACACAATAGCAATGCCATGTTTTTATATTTTTATGAGCTTAAATAACTGAATTATGATTCTAATTTATACAGCTGTATTAAATATTTTATAAATATATATATTAGGACTTTGATATCTTATTAATTTTAAAATTATTAATGGATCAAGTTTGAATAAAATATATTATCAAATAATTATTAGTTTATAAAAAAATTATTTTAAAGTTTATTATAATATTGTATAAATTTTTTTTCTAACTTTGTAAGGTTCAAAATATCAAATAATTGTTATTTTTATATTTGTATAATTGTTTTTATAATAATATCTCATAATATTAATTAAAAATAGGAAAACACTCTTAAATATAAAATATATATTTTGTTAATGATTTTAAAAACTACCACAAAATAGATATTCAATAATTGTTTTTGGATACTATGTATATATTGTTATTAAAATATTTTATATAATTCTTCATATTTAATATATTAAATTTATGCATTAACTGTATTTTACATAATTTGTATCATTAAATTTTTAAAAATGACACATGTCATTTCTACAATAAACCAAAATGATGAGGTGGCACTCATATGGAGAGAGTTGGCCATCTTTTATAGTATAGATTAATCAATACACTAATAACTATTGTGTCTCTCCATAGCTTGACAGATCAGATTTTTCAAAATTTCTAAAGTTGACACTTCAGCAAAAAGAAAACCACCAATCAAAACATTTCAATAATACACATCATATTATTTTATATATCGATTTTTACTAAATCCATTAATCAAAACCCAAACAAATGACATTTTTAAAAGCTCAAAAGAAGTAGATATTTTTTTTGTTCAAAACAAATAAATACTTTTTAAAATTGTAAATTGCAGAAACAATATATATAATTGAAGGTTTGCATATTATATTTTCTGTTGTTGCAAAATAACTGAAAGAACATATTTTTGTTATAATAAATATCTTTAAAAATTATTTTTGATTGAAAGATAAATTATTTCATGTTTGTCGCTTATGCTTATTGAAAACATCATTTTTAATGTAGAGCTAGAATTGAATTATTAAATTTAAATTAGGTAGGCGTTTCTTTAACTGGTTGATATCTCTCATATTTACATCATTTATGCTTGCATTTAGTTCATATTTTGTTCTCCTTTTGCATGTTTTCCTTCTTTTTAGTCTCATTTTCCTTTGCTTTTAGACTTAGGTTGCATTTAGGTTGTTGTTTGCATTATCTTTGCATAAGGGATGGTTTTAGGTACCTAAGGAGTCATTGGAGGCAAGGAGGAAGCATGAGAATGATTCAAGGAGTTGCCCAAACCAAGGAGGAGCAAAATGAGCTAAGGAAGTGGAAATCTGGTTCAAAATCGAGCAAGATGGAGTCAACATCGAGCGATGTAAAGCATTTGATCGAGTTTGGGAATCCACAATAAGTATCAACATCGAGCAAGTCTGCTCGATGTCAAGCCACATGACATCCACATTGAGTATTAACATCGAGCGATGTAAACGGGTAGGAGCTTCAGCATTCAACATCAACCAAGCACATCGAGTACCACCTGCTCCATCTCAAGCACCCGAAGACTCACATCAAGCATATGTGCTCGATGTTGGCCTTGTCCGAATTTCTTCTGTTTACAAGTTTGCCACCCCTTTAGGATTTTTTGCATTTAGTATAAATACCCTTGAACTAATGGTTTTTGGGGAGTTCTTAGTTCTTGCTTAGCTTTTTAAGTGTTTTTCCCTCTTTGTAAGAACAAGATCATCTTTTTAATCTAAGTTTTTGTATTTGCCTTATTTAATCTTCTCTAATCTCTTTTTTAATCATTTTTAACATCTTTCCCCCTTGTGATTTGGTGCATTTCATGATGATGAGTGAGTAGTCACTTTTGATATTACTATATATTTTGCATATTTTGAATAGATTTTTCTCTAAACTAGTTGTAAATTTAAAACGTGCGGGATGAATTGAAAAATAGCGTGTTGATTTTCACTTTTAATCATTCAGTGCTTAATATTATGAATGGTATGCATTTAGTGGAATCACGTTTCAAAATGCGAAAACGTGAAAAAGCTACATACCATTCAACCCCGTACCATTCACAATATTAAATACTGAATAATAAAATATGAATTATAACACGCTATTTTTCAATTTATCCTGCACGTTTTAAATTTATAACTAGTTTTGAGAAAAATCTATTCATCTAACAGATACTAGCTTTTTAGCGTTTTGAGTTTATTCAGTTTTCAGTTTATCCGTCCTATTGATTCTGCTAGTTTATTATTCAGCTATTCTACTATTCAGCTATTAAGTTGACATACCAGTCAAACCCGTAGTTTTTTCAGCGTTTTACAATTATTCAGTTAATTTGTCCTGCTAACAACTTTTTAGTTATTCAGTTAGTTTTCTGTTTTAAAAGAACGGGTTTGAATGGTATGAAGCTTTTTCACGTTTTCACGTTTTGAAAACTTGATTCTGTTATTTTTTACCATTCATGTTATTCATCACGTTTTCACGTGTTTCATGTTTTTAAAATATGATTCCGCTAGTATGTTAAAAATATAATTAGAAAAAATAAAACGTGATTAATCTATTAAAAATAACTTTTTAGCATTTCACAATTATCCAGCTAATATATTATTCAGTTCTGTTCGTTCCTTTAATAATTTTTTCAGTTATTCTATTATTCTGTTATTCATCTGACATAGCAGTCTGGCCCTTTGTGTACAGAGAACAACTGATTAAAATTTGTTTGGGGCATATTGACTGAAGCAAAATTTGCCTATTAACAATTTCATATTCTGATTAAACTTTGTTTGAATTTATAGCTTGTTTCATTCCTTCAGTCTGAAATGGAAATGATCTCCTGAATTTTTTTTTTATTGATTTGAGTGTCTCACTGGATAGCAAGTGCTAGAAACTAAGAAATCAACTTGATGCCTTCCTCTGTTGTTGCTAAACTTGGAATGACTGGTTTCAAGCCAGCTGGGATCTCTCTCATCCTAGCAGATCGATCCATAAGAACTCCAGAAGGTATCTTAGAAGATGTTCTTGTTAACATCAAAGGCTGCATGATTCCCACAGACTTTGTGGTACTATAATATGCTGAAGAACCTAAAGATCCTCTTATTCTGGAAAGATCATTCTTGGCTACTGCTGGCGCAATCATTGATGTAAAGAAGGGGAACATTGAGCTTGATCTTGGTGATGTTGTCATGAACTTTGACATGGATAAGTTAAGAGGAAGTTCTACCATTGATGGTCAGACCTTTTCTGTAAGGACTTCCAGAGATGAAGAGAATGTCATGGAGCATTCAGAAGACACTACTGCTGGGTATGTCACTGAATCTGATACAAGTGGTCAAGAGAAGAAGCTGGCTGTTCAAGGCGCAATATCTGAAACTTCTGCCAAAGCTGTTGGGTTTGAGGATTGGAGTGAAGATCATATCTTCATGACTAGGCTCGGAGAAGAAGTTCCCATCAATGCCAAGTTGCTGGAGGAGTACGAGTTTGTGATGGAGACAAGGATTGCAGATCTGAATTGCATAAAAACTGAAGAAACTCGACCTGGTGACGCTCATCACCAACCTGGACACAAAGGAGCAACATTATCCTTCAGCTACAAGTCCATCTTATGTTGCCAAACCGAAAATTCAACATTCCACAGACCAGAGACCTGCAACTAAGCAAAGGTATGCACTTCCTGGAACCACTTCCAAACCTCCTAATCTCATCAATGCAAAAGATGCTTCACACTTATGCAAGCAACGAGATTCTCGTGGAAAGCTTGGTGTTTCTTTTGATGATTCTGCAGGAAAACGAAGTGTTATCACCCACAGTCACAACCCACCCTGCTGATGTTCCTCACTTCCTTGGAAGAGTTCATGCATCTACTGCTTATAAACCACCATGTATGAGGAGACATTCTTCTCCAAGGCATTCAATGCCACCTTCTGCTCCACCAGCTGTCTGAGCAGCAATCAAAGTTAAGCTAATGTCGTTAAACAAGCGCTTAGTGGGACACAACCCACTAGTAAGTTTTCTTGTACTTAGTTTCGTTTTCTATTACATAGCTAAAAAAAACCCAAAAACATGAGAAAAATTGAAAAAAAAAGAGAGAGTCAGTTTGTTCAGTTTGCTTGGATGATGTCTTGTGAATTTGTTTGAACAATGGGTTATGCTTCGTTTGGATGTTTTTGATGTGTGTTTTGAGTGCTCTAACAGTCTGACTTCAGAGTACACATGTTGACACAACGTTTAAGCATCCAACTTGATGATTCTGAAGTATCAGACGTGGTGACGCTCATCACCAAGCTGGTGACGCACGTCACCCATCACTTCGCGAGGTACCACTTTTCCAACTCGGTTTTACATGTTCTCATGCTTCTTTTTGACCAACTCTTGGCTTAATAACACTGGGTACAGTGTTGTTTAAGTCTGGGGGAGGTGGCTACTGCATTGTGTGCTTTGTGTTTGATATTTAGAGTCTTAAAGTTGAGTCAAAAACATGTTTTTATAGAGTCAAAATTTTGAAACTGTCAGTTTTTCT